TTGCTGAGACCTCTATGCCTGGCCTGTATAAGCAGATATACTCACTGCGGACAATCCTCGTCAGATAGCTGAACTCGTCAATACCGATTCATTCAAAAGAGGTGTTTATTCTTTAACATAAGATTACAGCAGATGATAGGAACAGCAGTTGAACGGTTATAGTATTGTGCGGTCAGAAAATGATGCCTTTCCTCCGTACTGTGCAGATTACATGTGTGACCTTGTTACATGTGGCTAGTAGCTGTGGCCATGACACAGGAAGTACTGCACACAGGAAGAAGGAAGGGGCGTACACTAGGGGGAAATACATCGTCACATGAGGAATAATTACAAAAAAACATGTTTGTTACAACAAAAGGCCACTAGATGGCAGCATAGGATAACACATGGATTTAACTATGAGAAAATATATAGGCAAACACACTATGTAAAACTTCTATCTATATTACAATGCTAATATTAACTGAGGCTATGCATCTCATATTCTATCCCCCTATTGGGGCGGCACAATATGGGTATTTTTTATATTTACCAGTGTACTCTGCAAACTGAATGTAATGAGAGCTACTTGTATTGAATACATCTTTTATAATACCAAATAAAGCTCAACTCTGACATAGTAACTTTTTCGGTATTGAGCACGAGCACAGATATTTATATTTCGGTACTCGGCGATACCAAGTACCGATAACGGTACTTCCGGTAGCATTGAGCCGGCTTCCCGGGCAATCAGGGAGCCAGGCGGCGTGTCATTACCCACCACCCGGCTTCTTGATTGCCCTGGAAGCCGACTCAATGCTGTTTGGCCGGCTCTATGCTGATTGGCCGGGAAGCCGGCTTTCCAGCCAATCGGTATCGAGTCGGCCAAACAGATCTGATAATATGGCGACACAACCTCCACCCTGCAGACACCCCATTCTCCACACAAGCATATTCATCCTCAGCAGCAGTCATTACCGTACCGCAGATGTCCCTCGGCCAGCTGGGCAGACACCGCTCTCCCGGATCTGCCCACTTCTCCCGTGTGTACAGTGCCTGCACCGCCTTCGAAATCGGCCCTCAGCCTGCTACTGCGCAGAATGCCTAGCGCTCTCATTCAGAAATCCTCTAATAGAATCAAGCAGGCGGTGCACACGCTGTACACACGCTGTACACACACCAGTGTCAGGCGGCGGTAAAGCAGCTTGTGGAGCGATGTCTGGCCTAGGGACAGCTGTGGTACGGTAATGACTGCTGCTGAGGATCGATGTGTGGGGTATGAGGTGTCTGCAGGGTGGAGGTTGTGTCATCATATTATCAGACCTGTTTGGCCGGCTCGATGCCGATCAGCTGGGAAGCCGGCTTCCAGGCCAATCAGCATGGTCAGCAGTCATTACCGTACCGCAGATGTCCCTCGGCCAGCTGGGCAGACACCGCTCTCCCGGATCTGCCCACTTCTCCCGTGTGTACAGTGCCTGCACCGCCTTCGAAATCGGCCCTCAGCCTGCTACTGCGCAGAATGCCTAGCGCTCTCATTCAGAAATCCTCTAATAGAATCAAGCAGGCGGTGCACACGCTGTACACACGCTGTACACACACCAGTGTCAGGCGGCGGTAAAGCAGCTTGTGGAGCGATGTCTGGCCTAGGGACAGCTGTGGTACGGTAATGACTGCTGCTGAGGATCGATGTGTGGGGTATGAGGTGTCTGCAGGGTGGAGGTTGTGTCATCATATTATCAGACCTGTTTGGCCGGCTCGATGCCGATCAGCTGGGAAGCCGGCTTCCAGGCCAATCAGCATGGAGCCAGCTTCCCGGCTCCATGTTCCCTCGCGGCTCTGCCGGTCAGAGGAAATCTCCCTCTGACCGGAAGTTCCGGTATCGGGAAAGGTATCGGAGCATCCGTGATAGTGACCCCCTTTTCCTTTCCCAAACTCCTTTCAGCACCTAACTTTAAAGCCCAATTGATCCTTCAGTTTGAATTAGCTAAATACATTTCAAGTGCGTCAATACAAAATGGTAGCATATTATTTTAACTGATGTTATCACCTCTGTGTCCTCTATGGAAAATGATTGTGCTACGTAGATTAAGACCCAGAACATTAAATTATAGAGCTCTTGACTGTAGTAAAAACTGGATGTGTCACCAGCCCTCCAAGTCCAATAAAAGGCATATGAAAGAAGTTAAAGCTTATAAAAATATTTACATTTAAAGCAGCTACAGCCCGAGTAGAAAAGCCTGTCCCTTGCCAATGAGCTCTTGCTTTCTGTGTGAAACCAGTGGTCTCTCTGCAGAGGTACACACACACACAAACACACACAGTCAGCCCTATAGCTGTACAATCAGCAAAGCTCATGCTCCCTGTCGATTAGAGGGCTCTAGCTCTGACTCAGCAGGAGGCGTGTTGAACTTCTGCAGATAGACCACAGCTTCCATACAAAGAGCAAGGGTCCTTTTCTGCAGAATGCTGGCAGGGGATAGGCTTTTATACTCAGGTTATATTTTAGCAGGTTATATTTTGCTAAATATACTTTAGCAAAATAAACGAACTGTAGAACTTTGCATACTTTTTGTCTTGATGCACCTGGATTGTATTTAGCTGATTTATACTGAATGTTTAACTGGGCTGCATGTTTATTTTTGTCTATAAAATCTGGGTTGACAACCAGTCTGGTGAGATATTTTTCATTGGCCTTTCTAATCTCCTTGTGGAAAATGAGAACTTGGTATTGGTAAAGAAACGAAACCTCACATATAATTACCCATAGTGGCAAGGCATGTGAAAAAGTGAAATATGAAATTATTCATGAGCTCTTTTTCTGCTGCCATCGTAACTTTGCGATCGTCGAATGAAACTTTTCGTCCGATGATCGAACCGTTGTACGATTTTGGTACATCGGCCCCATCCTGCCCCGATTATCGCAAGGTTCAATTAGCAGTAATTTGAAAGAAATCACCTCAACGAATTGCGCTAATCAGTATTGTACAGTATTTCGGTTGTACATTGCCCATCAACCTTACGAATATCGGGCAAAAATGCGATCACATACGAAAATCAGCCGATCTTTGTAAGGTATATGGGCACCCTTAGAGTGGTGGGATGTATTGGGATGTAATCAAACTCAAGGTCATAATAGCAGGCTGCGGCCTCTCTTGCACAATTAGGGAGGTTGTAAAGGCACCTGATCTCTTTGACTTTGCTGTGAACGTGCCACCGCCCTGCCCACCTTCCCACCCTCATGTGTTCTGTGGGAATCCGAGACCTCTAAAAACCTTCTATGGACAGCAACCAATGAGAGATCTGCAAACTTCCATTAGCTAACCTAAACCCGAAAACGCTCAGCTCTGAGCACTTTCAGGTGAACGATGTTCAACCCTGGCTTCTGTAGCAAGCTAAATAACAGATCAGAAACCTTCTGTCCCTGATCGGCTTGGGCAAAGTAAAATGGAGACATTTGTGGTCCAAGAGGCCTCCTTATAGCAGGGATGGGAAACCTCCGGCCCTCCAGCTGTGGTGAAACTACAAATCCCATGAGGCATTGCAAGATTCTCACAGCCACAGGCATGACTCCCAGAGGCAGATGCATCATGAGATTTGTAGTTTCACCACAGTTGGAGGGCCAGAGGTTCCCCACTTCTGCCTTATAGAGAACCTGTCACCTACACAATGCCATCACTTGTAAGCTCCATTGTGATAGCAATACAGTTAGAGTAGCATTAACCTCTCAAGCCATGTGTAATGTACATGTAATATAATGTATATTTCTCATTGTGGTTGCTTCCATTTTGGAATGGAGCTAGATTAAAAAATAAACAAAAACATGCTTGCAAATACCCATATGCCACCTGTGTAGTATAGGTGACAAGAATTGTTGCATGCTTCTTCTAAAAAAGTGAAGTCGGCTTCCTAACCAATCAGGATGCTGTGAGGTGAGTCGGATAGCCTCCCAACTACTCGGGTTCCGCTGGAGGCGAATTACAACAAGGACAGGAGAAACAGAAAGAGAACACAGAGACATACAAGGACAAAACAAAAAACAAAAAAAGGGGAGGGGGCGAAAGATCTCAGTGCCCGTGCCCTGGTGCGATCGCCGCCCCGCACTCAGCGCGCGTTCCCCGGTACGAATATCATTTCATACCCCGTCACCGAAGCGCTACTCCAGGTTGGCTTGCGGAAAATCTACCGACTCACGGAACTGATACCAGGCCGCCCATGTGCAAACGAACTTATGCTGGGTTTTGCGGATTGAGGCTGTAAGATCCTCCATTAGTCTGATCTCCTCCACCCTCTGCACCCACATCTCCACCGAGGGTGCTCGGGATTGTCTCCATAACGCCGGAATGCATGCCCTGGCAGCATTCAACAAATGTATCAACAGCGCTTCTTTTTTTTTAATGCACTGTTGCTTGCATTGCAGCATGTACAAATTAGACGTTTATGGTGTCTAGTTCAGTGCAGAAAATCATACATCGCAAACAATATGCCTGAAAGACAGCAATGAACCGTAAAAATTCCTCGTATCCAATATATTATATATACAACAATAACCATAGGGCTGTGTCCTTGTTTAGATCTTTATTACTCAATCACATTGCTGAGACACCATGGTAACAATGTCTCATTATAATTCAAACCCGACCTGTAACCTATATACCACATAACTGCATACACAAGTCGTATTCATTCCAGGTATTCAAAGACGTATGAAAGGGTCCCTATGGGGGGCAGTATACCAACATGAATAATACAAAATTATGGAGTCAACCTAATAAATTCCCATTCAAAAAACCAACAGGAAAACCCCTGGACATCAATGGACGTTCCCCAATAGAAAGGATCCTGTCTTCAGGTGGCTCCATCCCATTACAGGGAACCATGGAGCCACCAGAGCGTGCACGCTCCCAGCTCGATCCATGGACAAGTCTGTTTATGTCCATTAAAGATTATGGCCCCAGAGGTAACCCACACCCCTGATCCTCCCTCCAGCTGCTGATTGACAGTGGCTGGAGCCTGCACTGTTCCTGCTTTCTGGTGCATGTAAAGGGCACCCTGACTATCTGGAAGTGTGAGGGAAGCAGCGTGTGGACCTGGAGCCACTGGTGTTGAGCAGGTAGGGTAATTAAATATTTGGACACTTATTTAAGTTAAACATGCACCAGGTAATGTTGCACTGCTTGATATTACCCAGTACATTTAAAAAAGGCAGAGGGTTTAATACTACTTTAAAGTAAGAAAAAGTCTTCCCTCCTTCACCGGTGGTTCAGTATATAAGAATAATCCAATGGGTCCAGTGGTGTCCATTGTCCATGCCATAGCAACCTTGGTGCCAAAAATTAAAATACTGTTCAAGGGTTAAGCTATTGGCACTTAGACCACTCCTTCTGGAGGAGGAAACTGAAACTATATAAAAACAACTATTTAGAGTTTTTCCAGACACTACAGAGCTAAGGACGAATCCAGGACATAAGGCTGACACATCCTGAAAGAGGTAAAAAAAGGCTTTGAATGTTCTTCTCATAGATCCAGGTCTTGGTATAGCTCAACCATCGACAGTGCCTTCTAACTTTTGGCCAGCACCATGGAAATGAATAACTAATCCAGGAACAGTGGGATCCTTTAAAAAAAAAATGTGCCAAGCTGCCACATCTGCGGCTCCTGATATTAAGGGGGAGGCGCTCTGATTTGAAGGAGGGCTTCTAATGCAAAAAAGGGGGGCTTTTGATGTAAAGGAGGTTTCTGATGTGAAAAGGGGGGTGCTGCTGTGAAAGGAGGGGGCTGTGATGTGAAGAGATGGCTCCTTATTTGAAGAGAGGACTCTGATATGATGGGAAAACCTCATTTTTGTGTGTGTTTTTATGTGGGGTCTACACTGGGATAAAGGGCTGTTATGTATTTTGGAGGGGCAACATGTTGTGTTTTTACATTTATGTTTTAGACTGGATTGCCCCAAGATTTTGCATACTTTTATAGGGTGCTGTGACTGGAAAAAACAATGTTGAGGAACACTGGTATAGCAGTAGCAGTTAGCCACATTCAACTGGATTTCTTCTGTAATGTTGGAGATGTTTCACAGTTTATTCAAGGATGAATAAGCTGCAAAATATATTTATCGTTAATGAACAAGTCCATTTGAATGGGCCATATGCAAAAAAAGAAAAAAAAAAAAGGTTTTTGTTCATTCAATTTTCGAACAGTTAATGGGGTCAAATTGATGATCGTTTCTCCAATGAACAAAATTCTAACAGTGAATGTGGTTTTCGTTTGAGAAACACTTCATTCATTTCCAAAATTGAATGCTAAACCTAAACAAAGTGATATGTTTTGAATAGAACATTAATATACGACACCAGATCATTATCATTGTATTTATAAAGTCTCATGAATTATTCCACTGTTCCAAAGAATTAATGATTTGTGTTTTTGCATCACCATGTGTTAAGATGTTGGCTACCAAGTAAAAAAAAATTGGATCTGTATACACTGTGTATGTGTTTGATATTTATATGTAATGTTCATAACTTGGTCCCTCTGGGTATTTAATATACAACCTCAATAATTACATTTTTTAAATTATATTCACTAAGTATATTGAAAAATTGGGTTTATATTGACGGGTATTTTTGTATGTAATTTATTTGAGATTTGGGGATGGTTTTTGGGAGGCGATGATTGATTAATTAGTAACATTTTTATTTATATTTGTATTAGTTGTTCCCAATTTATCTTTGGTTAAACTTGGAGCCCTTTTTTTTAATCTGCATAAGTAGACAGCCCTTTGAATACCGTCAAACCATTATTTGGAATATTTTGCACTGTGGACAACATGATTGTGTATACAATATGTGGTCTTCCAGAAAAGAAAAAGGATGTGTTTGAAGTTTCAGTTAACACAGGGGTCTTAAACTCAATTTACTGACTGGATACATTTTCTAGTCCTGTAGGGGTGCTTGCCAAATGTCATAATTCAAAATAAAAATTAACAATATCCGGTACCTGTGGTAATGTCAGAAAGTTGCCCTGATACACAAAGGACAGTATTTGTTCACATGATGAATCGAGCACGTTAGAACATTTCAGGGTAGTATCATGTTATTACAAGGACCTTTGGTGAACCTTTTGAAAAGACTATTTATTGGTAACCAAACCAGTGAAGGGTTATCATCTTGTATTTCTCCTTAAGCTCAACAAAGTGCAAAAATTGTCAATCATGTGTAGACATGTGCACTGCCAAAAAATTAGTTTCGTTTCGTTTTAAATTCGGATTTGTGTTATTTCGTTTTTCAGGATTCGGGTGTGAAAGTCAATTCGGATTCGGAATTCGGATTCGGACGAAATTCGGTAGCGTTAGTACGAACGTTCAATTCGTTTTCTGTTCTTATTCGTTTCTTATTCGTTTCGTTCGTTTGCAGCAAAAGTGACATTTGAGGGGGAAAAAATATTTTTCTCCTTCTCTAATGTCACTTTGCTCCAACGAACGAAACGAATAAGAAACGAATAAGAACAGAAAACGAAACGAAGGTTCGTACGAACGCTACCGAATTTCGGAAATGGAAATTCGGATTAGTTTGCTTTCGTTATGTCTGTTATTCGGAATTCGGATACATCCGAATGTCCGAATTTCCGAAAATTCGTCCGAATTTCGATTCGGAACAAAACGAATCGCACATGTCTAATCATGTGCTCATTACTGTTTCAGCAAATGTACAAACTAATAAGTATTACTACCTCTCCTTCAGGTCAATAAATTAAGAGGATGGAAGCAAAAGAAGACTATTGGATCATCAATGAGGAAGAACTTGGCGAGATTAAAGCATGTCTAGAAGGCGGCAATCTGTACAAGACAAAAGAAGCAATCAGTGAATCATTGGAGAGTATGCAACTGAATATTGCAGTGACAGGAGATTCAGGAGCTGGGAAGTCTACTTTCATTAATGCCATCCGAGGCCTGGAAGATGATGATGAAGATGCTGCGAAGACTGGAGTGGTGGAGACCACAACAAAAGTAATGTCGTATTCTAACCCAAATGATAAGAATGTAATATTTTGGGACCTGCCAGGGGTGGGAACTCCTAATTTCAAGCCAGAGGAGTACCTGGAAGCCGTAAAGTTTCATCAATATGACTTTTTCATCATCATGACCTCGGAACGTTTCCGGCTCAATAATGCTGACCTAGCCAAAGAGATTCAAGCGATGGGCAAGGAGTTCTACTTTGTGAGGACAAAGGTTGATAACGATTTGGCTGCCAGTAAGAAACAGAAGAAGAAAACATTTAATGAGCAGAATATTTTGAAAGAAATCCGTGAAAACTGCGTTCAAAATCTTCGGCGTGCAGGAATCCATGAGCCGCGTGTGTTTCTCCTCTCCTGTCTGGATTTAGACAAGTATGATTTCAATCTCATACAAGAAACTCTAGAGAAGGAGCTTCCAAGTAACAAGCGAGACATCTTCCTTCTCGCTTTACCCAACCTCTCTCTGTCAATACTGGAGAAGAAGAAGCAGGCTCTGCAAAGACATGTTTGGAAGGTGTCCATACTGTCATGTGCGGCTGCTACAGTCCCGCTTCCCGGGTTGTCCGTTGTTTGTGATATCACCATTTTGATGACAGCCATGAAGAAGTATGTCAACGCTTTTGGCCTCACACATGATTCTCTTGATAAATTAGCACGGAAATGTGGTAAAGATGTTGCAGAATTAAAGTCTGTAGTCAAAACCCCTTTGGTTCAGGAAGAGATTACTGTGAAGGCCGTTGCCAACCTTATAGCCAAAGCCGTGGTAAGCAAGTTAGGGAAGCTTATGTTTGTTAAGTATGCTATAAGCATGATCCCTATGATTGGCTCCCTAGTAGCTGGTGGGCTCTCTTTTACTACCACATATGCAGTGCTCAATAAATTTCTGGAAGACTGTGCAGAAGATGCAGTAAGGGTTCTTCAGAAGGTTTTAGAGACCCATAATTAGAAATCATAAAGAAGGAAACAATTCAATAAGAAAAAACTGTCCATAAGTATACTTAAAGAACTCTGGGATTTTATAATACTTTCCTGTGCAGTGGTACTACCCCTCCCACTGCAACAGTTAAGTGCCTCGTGTTGGTCTATGGGGTTCTTATAAAGAAGCTATACTCGCCTGATTCTTGGTCCTCCAGTGCTCAGCCCCTCTGACTGAGAAATGTCCCACTGACATCATCGATGCGATGATGTCAGTGGTCCTTAGACTGCCGGAGTTCAGGGGGAGAAGAGGCTACAGCGACCGGTCTAGCAGCCTGGCAGGACTGAGGATCAGGTGAGTATAGCTACTTTACTGGAGCCCCCGACCAAAAACGAGGCACTTAACCCCTGCAGTGCGGAAGTAGCCCCAGTGCAAGGGTTAGTTTTGTTATTCTGGAGTTCCTCTTTAAAGAAGAACTCCGGGCATTTAAAAAAATTAACCTTTTATACCTCGATAAGCCCCTGCTATGGGTTCCAGGTATGATCTCATGGTCACAAGTATATGAGTAAATCGCCCCACAATCAGATGTCCGTGAAACATGCAATCTAGGCCCCGGCGGCCAATAATATCTCAAATGTTCTACATAGTCGAGGGGCTACGCATTTATGAGTGACAACACGGGTAAATTTAGAGTGTTCTGAAAGGTGTCAGGGTCACGCAGGCTACCCCTTCCCTTCCTATGTTAGTTGTGTATGTATTCCCATGTAGATACAATGTTGTGTAATATGCCTATATTGGAAAAGTTACAGGATCCATGCACTGACATTGCTGCCTGTCATTTTGACTGTATTGTATTTTTTGTATAGTCACACAGTGTATATGTATGGATAATCCTGTTCCGAAAATAAAGAATTTATTAAAAAAAAAAAAATTAACCTTTGCAGTGGGGTTACCCCGCACTATCTTCCAAGTAAGCAGATGCCACAGAATCCTGACAGACCTTCACCTCCACCCAGTGAATGCAGAAATTGGAACAGTGCTCACCTGGGGAGATAGACCCACAGAACGAGGTCTCAAAGCGTGTTTCCCTTCTAAACAGGGAAGGGAAGCCCATATGACTAAAGACCAGGTGACCTCCTCAGCTCACAAATAACATCATCATTTCAAAGGGAGACAAAATATAAAGAGGACATAGTGCGTATCGTCCAAACAAATGCAATGTATTAAATAAAAGCAGGTACTCACAATGTCACAGGGGACAAAAGGCATAAAACAAATATCCAATGGACACCACAGTACAAATCTATGGATGCAATGGGACTCCTGTCCGTCCGGCTCAGCTGAGAAGAGTGACATCAAATATTTTGGTTTCATCTGACCATATGACATTCTCCCAATCCTCTTCTGGATCATCCAAATTACAAATATATATATATATATATACACACACACACACACACAATGTTGTTGTAAAAGTTGGTGGGGTGGTTCATACACTGATGGGAAAGGCTCTTTGTACACTTCAAATTTTGCTTTGTTAGTGCTATAAAAGTTATAGCACTGTGCTATATATAGTCAGTGTTATATAAGTGTATGTAATAAACACATATTGTCTCTTGTGGTCTGGTAAATATACCATTGAAAGTGTTTTGTTATAAGTGTTGATCTGGCTGGAAATCATGTGAGTTGGTACCTTCCTTACCTCTCTGCCTGTGCAACCTGATATTAAACCCGACCTTTTCCCCCTTCTTGACTAAAAATCACATCAGCACCCAGCTCTGCATGCTGATATGATATCATCTCACATTCATTAGATAAACAAACATATTTTTATTCTACTTATTTCTTTTTTTTCCACTTCCTGGTTCACTTCTGGCACAAATGATGTATTTGTGCCCAAGTGTTGCATCCTGGGAAGGTTACATCAGCAGAACATTGCTGGGAAATCTCATCTGTAATCTCAGGAGTTCCGGGAAGTAAAAGGGGAGCTGGTAATCTGCCCTTAGTTACAATGGCCACTGTGAGAAGACTGGGGAAGAAAAGAGAAATAAGGAATGCAAAGAATACAAAGCCAGGAATTATCTAGAAGTATGTGATTGTAAATTGTCATTACTAAACATTTCTAAAGGTGTGTTTGTTGTTATTTTACAGATATGGGGAAAGGTCTGCTTTAATGATATTGTTCTGTGGGGACTATACCCCTCTACACTACGGAGCATAGGAGAGGGGCACGTTTCTATAGTCCTATCTAGTTTCTGTTGTTCTGATACAGAACGGTGACTGAGTGTTATCACACTAGGACAGGAACTGTTACATAGTTACCTAGGGATGCACCGATACCGATACTAGTATTGGTGCCGATACCGAGTATTTAGCCAAGTACTCGTACTCGCCCAAATGCTCCAATACTTAATCCCGACACCAGAACTTCCGGTCAGAGGGAGATCTCACTCTGACCAGCAGTGCCAAGGGAGCATGGAGCCTGCTTCCTTTCCAATCAGGAAGCTGGGTAGTGGGTTATGACCTACCTCCCAGCTTACTGAATGGCTAGGAAGTTGGCTTCACTTGTTGCAAGGGCTTTTCTCCAGGGGGACGGAATAAAGAAGACATGCTCAGCTGATCCTCAGTCCTGCGCCAGTCAGTGCTCACTTCTCCTACCCTCCGCTCTGGTTGTGGTGTGTCCCCCGGCATCCTCACATCTAATAGACCTGTATTAGATGGGATGACGTCACGGGTCCTTAGACTGGGAGGGGAAGAGGCAGGCAATGCAGCCAGGTGGGACAGAGGATCGGGTGAGAATGTCTTCTTTATTTTTGTCCCCTAGACGGTGTGACAACACGCAGTTGACCCTTGCAGTGCCAGGGTAGCCCCACTCCAAGGGTACCCTATTTTATGCTCCCTTGGACAGTAAAATGTCTGTGCGTCTTATGGATCGAATCCCTCTCGCCCGACGGATGCAGTTTCGGGCGCCGGGCGAGTAATTTTTTTTGTACATTCAGCCCTGCTCCTGACAAGCCGAGCTAAATGTACAGTGGGAGCCGCTGCTCGTTCAATACAAGCGATCTAATCAGATCACTTGTATCAAAATCGAGCGGCGGCGAACGTGTGCGCCCCCCCTGCCGTGGTTTTCGGGGTCCCCCGCTCCTCTGGGGGACCCATGACCACGGTATAGAAGCTCACCATAGAGCTCGTGTTCTTTGTCTGCTCTGTGTGATCACTAAGACCATGGCGCTGTGATCACAGCGCCACATGGCTCAGCTGTCACTAACTACAGCTGTCACAGAACCCTCCCTGCGTCCTATGGTCAGGTGCGCCTTATGGAGCAAAAAATATGGTAGGTTTTTTTTTTTTTTTTAAATTCCCAGAGTTCTTCTTTAAGATCTGAATTGAACTCATAGCCCCACTGCAAGGATTAATTAAAAAAATACTGGATTCCTTCTTTTACAACGCAACATATACATAAGCATCACTGAGTATAATTCATAGCCTGAATTTGAGTTTTAACGTCACTGATAACCACAAAGCAATTTCATAGCCTGCCAGTTCTTAAAGCTGACCTACGGGCACCAAAACTTTCCTTAAAATATATTCCCAAAGGATATTAATCCATTTTGTGTGCAGCAAAAGCCTTTGTAAGCCCTGAAATTACCTTGTAAAATAGCGGTGACATCATCACTGTACATGGCCTGTTCTGAGAGCAGAGTAGGGCAGGCCCCACCCACTACAGAAAGCTACAGGAGGAGGTGGAGACCGGACACAAGACCAGCCCCCCTGCACAAGGAGAGAGAGCAGCAGTGACTGGTCTTTATCACAGGAAGTCTCACACTGGATTACTGCACAGATGTGGAAGAAATACACAACGCTCACCATGTTTCATGGAAGAATTCACATGACTCTTGTATTTACACAATATTTGCTTAGCCCAGGCATTGGGACATTTACTTGGTCCATGAGCTACTCACAAACCAGACAATGGCTCCATTTCACCAGTCAATGCTTATCATTGTTTCCGGTTTATAAAACAAAATCCGAAGATGTAGGTGACCACAGGATATTTACAGGACTCCCCTTTGCCTTCAGTGGTCACACTCCTTTACACACTGTGCTGATGATAAGCAATATGGATGTTTTTGTGGCTCCATCTCCATCATGATTTGGAGGAAATTGATGTTACTCTGCCTGCTCTCCTTATAATAATGTCTTCAAGGTTTGATCTCTTGTTTTGTAAAGAGCTGGCCATATAAAGCCCCCTAGGGAGGGCCAGCCCACCCAGAACTGATATTTAAGGTTCTGCTGGTCACTGGAGTGCTAAGGCAGCTAATAGACTCTTTTATTGATCACTGATCCTGGTGGTGGAATCCCTGCACATCAGTTCCCAGTTCTTCATACCTTATGTAACACTTCTAACGGTGCCCCTCTCCTGAAAAAAAAAGATGGGATCACCCGAAGGTGGCATCCAGGGGAGCACCCAGAACTCCAGCACTATGGCGGGGGGACTGCAAGTCACTAAGATCCAAGAAATATAGGTGAAAGGTGACTTATATCTGAAATATAACACTTGGGTTCGAGGGGGGATCTTCACTACCCCAACAATCTGCTGTACTCTGATAATGCTGAAGACTTCTTCACCCCGTCCCAGATCCGAGCAGCGTAGTGAAACCTACACAAAAGGAAAATGTGAAATGTTTAAAAATGCAGAAACGTAATAGAATTGTTTATAGAATTGTTTATAGAAGCGAGTTCCTCTATTCTATAGCGGTCACCTCTGCTACCATCTGTGGCTACTCGGACACCATCATAGAAAGGGCTCATTCACACCGGCATGCGCTCCCGTGCAGAGACCTACTCCCAGGAGGGACAGGTGCTGCATGTAATTGCATGGAAGGACGTGGCCGCACATGGCTACAGACTAACCCAAACCTGCAGGCCCGTGTGCTTGCACTTGGACACACACTGTCTGCCTCCAAGTGCAGGCACCCATACCTGCACACAATTACATGTAGCACCTGCCCCTCCTGGGAGCAAGTCTC